ACAAAAGGGTGGGGTGCGCCAGGTAGAAGTGACAAGAGGTGAGGCCTGGTCTCACTGTCAGGAAGTGATACGTATGAAACTCTAAGGCAGGAGGTGTTAGTAAAAACCAGAGACAGACACAGCTGGGTTCCTGGAAGGCAGCTCAGCTGTCCAGCCTACACCAATGGCCCACACTCCCACGACCATGCACTTCTTTCAAGACTCATAGCAGGGAACCCGGACTCCTAATCTCTTCTCATGATCAAAGCCGGTGTCTAAATAGACAAGGATCTTACAGAATTGTGGTTAAAAGGGAGCTCAGAGTCATTTCATCCGACCCTCCTCCCACGTCAACGTTGCTGCCTACCCATCGTACGTCTGCCAAGAGACAGCCGGAACTGAGCGGGGCCTGAGGGCTGCCCACAGCTCTCACAAGACACCTTGATTGCAGAATTCCAGCCTCTGGGACCATGTGACAATCCGGTTCTATCATTTAAGCCACATGGCTGGTAGCACTTTGCTCCAGCAGCCCAGAGGTGACTCCTGTGGGTGCCATTGAGGACGGTTCTGTGGTGGCAAGAGGCACTGCAGTTCCACAGAGATGGAAGAGATGCTTGACCACCCTGAGGCTGGACCTTTCTCCACAGGCCACTGCAAAGCGAGGCTGTCCCCCTCCTACTGTCCTTGTAAGTCGGCATTCTGATCCTGCCCTCTGGACTCTCAGGAAGGTCACTCATTAGCCATCATGTTGTACCTGTCGGCGTTTCTCCGTCATCTTCCTTCCGTGTGTGCGTGGTTTGTTTCCCAACTTGCCTGCACACGCTTTGAGGGCCGGGACCTGGTTACAAACCTACGCGGAAGTCAGGAGATCTCTCTGATACAAATTCTTGGTGTGAACGCAGGAACGTCACCTTTCCTTTCTGGCCCCGTTCTCTCGCCTAGATAAGAGGACCCCTAAATTCCCTCCAGCTGTGATAGTCCAAGATTCTGGCTCCATGCACGCTTGGTATTTAACCAGCCTGACGGAAAGGGAAGGAGAGGCCCAGGAACCACATCTGAGATGCGCTGAGCAGCCAGGCACCGGCCTAGGCAGGTCAGTCTCATTTAATAAGGGGGTAGCCCCAGAGACTTGGGGGCAAGACAGCACTCCAGGGGCTCAGCACTACTGGGCCCCCTTCCTAAAGCCAAGGCCCACCTGCCTTGGCATCTGCTTTTTTTTTCTTTCTTTTTAAAAATATAGTATTACTTTTTACCTTTAATCACTGTATATCATTACCGCATACCAGAAGAGTCTCCCAGCACGGGAACAGGCAGGTATGATCTCCCTTTCTGGAAGAGCCCTCTCTTTGTGATGGCTGAAGCCTGCTCCCATTTGAGGAAGGTGTGTAGCCTGAGTGCTCTACTGAATTGTGGCATCATGCTGTGGCCGGACTGGGCCTCTCGGTGCTTGTTGGAACCCAAATAGTTCTGATTTTAAGAATGGAGGCATAGCATCTTTCCCAGAGGTTACAGCATTGGGGGGAAGCCACTTTCCGCGCCTTGTCCTGGAGGGAACACAGCACGCCTCGGCCTCCGCTGTGAGAAGCTCTTACGGGGTCCCAGACTATCTCAGGTCCTCCCAACGGCAGACACCCTCAAGGCCTGGGTACCTGCATAAATGACGCTCTTTTGGCTGCAGGAAATAGGGACTCCCATAGACTGGTCAAACTATGGCAGGTGGCATGGGGTAGATGCAGGCACCTCATTTTAAGATAGTTGCAAAATGAACAAAATCTCCCAGAAGTCCAAGACCAGAAAGCCCCAGATGATGGGAAACTTCACAAGTCCTGGCCCCGGAAGGTCGTAGTTCTGGGACCTCGCTCTGGCGGCCTGCCAAGCATGCGCCCAGCTCCTCTCCAGGGGTCTGCTTCCCTCCACCGTTCGCCAATATCCCAGTCCTCGTAGTGGATGCCTTGAGTGGAACGCGAAGCCATTTAACACGAGCCACAACTGTGAGTGACACAGAGAGGAAAGGAAACCCAGTCTCCAACAGGAATAGCACATTTCTTCCAAGGACCTGAGGCCTAATTCCTCAACTGAACCGGTTACGTAAGCTCAGATGTCTTAGCCATGCGGCCTTGAGCAAGGCCCTGCCTCAGGGCCGTCATTTCCGAAGGGCAATGTGTATCCTGGCTCTCCTCCCTCGGGACTTATGAAGGAGCAGGAGGCTATCCTCCCCAATCCACCCCACGTGCCTGGCGAGCTTCTTTGTGGCTCGGGCCTGGGTCCCCTTCTGGGTCACATGGACGATTTCAGCTAAGTGATCCTTTCTGCCCCATCCCCTCTAGTCCCTCATGGCTCTGCTTCGTTCTACCCCCGCCTCTCCGGCCCTCACCCCTGTACACGCCCTTGTGGCCCTGGTCCTCAGAAACCTTTCCGCTGAGAATCTCACAATGGAGAGAGCATCCTTGTACCCTGTGTTATAAGACACGTCTTGGCGAGAAGTCGCATTCACATCATGCCTTTGTAATAAAGAGCCTCTCTTTCCCCTGACCTAGCTGATCTGTTTGGGCATTGTCTTTTTACTTGTCATTGATCATCAATGGGCGGCAGTTTCTCTCTCCCTCTGATCTCGTCTTTGTTACCCGCCACCCGCCACCCCCCCCCCGCACTGCCTGTCCCGGCCCCCAGCCTCTCTACTAAACAGCAGTGATACGTAAACAAACTCCCAGGCACGCTGGGAGGAAAGGACGGGGCCAGCCCCCCTTGGGCCTGTGGCTTGTCATTCCTGAAGCTGTCTGTTTTCTAAGTTCTTCTGCCAAGTTTCTATGGGAGCCGAGGGATCATTTTCTCCCTTTTCAAAGAGCAGGGTGAGTTGAGGCCTCAAGCTGGCAAGTCCTTTAAAGTCATTTTCAAAAGAAACCTGAGCCGAAAGGCCATGCAGCTGGCAGAGGGAGGTGCGACTTTCTGAGGCTCTCTCTGGGGTTTGGGTGGTCAGCTCCCACCGGCTCCCCTGCACGTGTGAGAGCCTGTTGCCCAGGCACTGCCACGGGACGCGCTATGCAGCCAGTGGGCTCGCAGGCCCAGGGAAAGACTGCCCTTATGTCCCCTCCCTGCCGCCACCCAGGAACAGGCGGGGAGGAAGGACTTTTTCCTCTCACCCGTGACCAGAACCACACTTGTCCTCACTGTTCCCAGGTCCTGCCAACCAAACTTGATCCTTGGGGTTTCTGAGGTAACGTCAAGCTTGGAGCCAAAGTCAGCTCAGGTGAACTTACGTCTGAATTATGGACTCATCAATCGACCAATTTCCTCATCGGAACTCAGAGGGAAAGCGTTGTCCCAAGTCACACAAGAGTGGCGGCTGAGTTCCAGGACAGGGCTCCTTGGACAAAAAGCACCTCTGCAGAATGTTGGTTGGCTTGGCCACTGGCCGTTCACAATGCTATGGGTCTACCAAGTCTGTCACCCAACCAGTAGACACCAAAAAGACCCCAAATACACCAAGGCTGATGCATGTCGGACTGGTCCAGATAGACACCTTACAGGGGTTTCTGAAGCCAGGATGCAGGCTGATCCTGAGCACTTCCTGGAAAGGGCAGCCCAGGCCCAGAGGGGGAAGAGATGCACATACCTTTGTGTCAAAAGAGCTGAACTGGAGTCATTTGAAGCTCAGTCTAGCCCTATGTGAGGGGACCTCTCCCAAGCTCTTTAAGACCAGGGTCTGGGGTCTGCACCCCACTCTGCTGCTGAAGGCCAAGCTACCAGGAACAAACCTAGCCTCTTCTCCAATGAAGCTCCTTTCTGAGACCTCACAAGAGCCTGCAGGCCCGCCCCTCCCAGAGCACCCCCGACTGGGTTCGGAGCCGAGGCACCCAGGCCCTTTCCGGCCCCCATTCCAATACCAGAAAGACCTCCAGAACTAGCCGACTTGACTTTTCAACATTTTATTCTTATTTTTGTACAGCTATATTTTACAACGCGGTATGCAGTTTAGACACAGCCAAACCCTGTCTCCGGAGTAGTTATAACACAAGCATGACGCAGAATGGGATGAGACAAACATTCCCAAAGAGAGTTTTTCGTTAGTGCTAACTTCAAGTCCCTGTGTCTGCCTACGCTTCAAAAAGGGATGGCACGCGTTTGTCCATCATCAAAAACTTCCGTGGAAAAAGGCACCGTGAGGACACGTTGTACAGGTATATACACACTGAAAACCGGAACAAAATTACACATTTTTCCTTCTGCGGCTTTTTTTGTTCTTTTTGTTGTTGTTTTTTTTTTTTTTTAATACACACTTTGTAAATTGTAAACCTTCACTTGCAAAAAAATACAAATACACTGAGGCATTTTAGACAAAATATTTTCTTACTTATACAGATGCAATACTTAAAATATTCTCTTAAGTGCTCTTTCTCAATAAAGATTCTCAGATCCGTGTCTGCCTGCAGATACAAAATCGAGCCTTTAACGCAGTTTTATATTTTTAATATATCTTTTTTAGGTTTATATATATTTATTTTATATATATATGTATATATATATATATATATTTATATATTTACAACTCTGCCATATATTCCTTCACCTTTGGTTAAAAAAATTAAAGCCCTCTCTTTGATAACATACTGAAGTCTTGTCTTTTAAAAGAATGCACATTTACATACAAAAGAAACATCTGCTCCCACAAAACATATACATTCCTCATTTTGCAGACTAAGTCAAGTCAGAACGTTTGCATACTCCCCCGCTTCGGTATATAAAATGAGTTCGCTTTTTGCTGACATGGTTCGCCTTACACATAGGAGAAGAAGCAATATTATTTTCTTAATGTTTTACGGCAGTGGGGGAAGAGGAGTGCCCGTGGCTCCCAGTCCCCCAGCCCCACCCCCAC